TGTATCAATCTTGTTGGCAAATATCGTAAATTGACTAATATATCGGCATTTATTTAAATACTAATCCAAAGTACAATTTAAGTAATATATTTAAATTATTTAACTCGGCTTTGGACTATTCGAAATTCTAATACGTAACAATGTACATTAACGTATTAATTTATGGTACGTAATGGTAATAATTTCATAGAAAGTGTGGTAAAATACTGTTATATCAACACAAAACTACTTTAAAAAATAACATAACATTAGCGTTATCAGATACATTTAACTTTCATAAAATTGAACTGTGTCTTAAGACGTACTAGACAAATTAAAGTAATATATTAGTCCTAAATCTTACAGTAATTTTAAAGTAGATTCACAATTTTAAAATGGACTTTCTCGATTATTTACAATTTCGACATATTTGTGGAGAGACATTTATTTTTAGAGGTATAAACTGTTCTAAAAACGTAATAGTGTGGGCGGAGAAATTCAACAGTGCGAACATAAATAAAGGTTTAGACTCTTTTTATACAGACTGTACAAACAGTATATGTGTGATTGCAACTGCCAAACCCGAAACCAACAACAAAAAAAACAAAACAAAGAAGAGATGTATATTCCACCTTTGCATATTTTATTGAAACTGATTATAAGCATAACTTCATTCCCTACAAGCAATAAAGTAAATATTAAAGCAAATATTCAGGTAATAGTTATTTCATTTTTGTCTGTTTGCTTATGTCAGCAGTACATAAATTAAATGAAGAAAATGTACCTGTAAAAAGTTAACAGTCTAAGAGGATTTATAAACATTATGTAATCACAGACTAACAAACTTGAAAAATGTTCAATGCCAATTTTTATGTATATATTCGGTTTTAAAATGAAAACGAATATTAATATTTTAGGTTAATGACTTCTTCCTAGATTGTACACGGAAATGACGCTACAAATTAGTAAATCATCTAAGTTTGCAAGATTAAAAGTTTTACTTTTTTAATAAAGTTCGAATCAAAAGCTGATAAAAAGAGTTAATGTTCTATAAATTAACTAATGTTAATGAGAAACTTATGGTTGAGGCTAATTATCAGTTCAACCATGAAAGATGCTATAAATTGTAATGTACCTAGGTTTGAAACCTAAACTTCTTTACAAATAACTACAAGTCTGATAGATTGCGTAAGAAACCCTCAACATAGTAGCATTGAAATTAAATATCGTACTTACACACACATAAATATACATCTTAAATCAACTGGAGAAAGCCCTTTACACTTTTACTTTAACTTAAAGAATGGTCATACCATTTTTCTTTCTCAAAAGATAGTCTTTCAAAAAGTGATAGAAACGGTTGCACAATTCTACTTTCTTATATGAAATGTAAGAAACGAATTATAAATCGAAACTAACAAAACATACATGTGGTAGATATGCGATATAACAAGAGATATAAAGTCTACACAAATATTATGAAAATATATATATGCATGTATTCAACTGGTTGTTATATTTTGGAGAATAAAATCTGTCATAGAGTACAATAAAAGAAAAAAAACTACATGCTATATAGAATTTTACTTTTAGCTCAGAGTTAATCTTCGTCAGTATAACCTCAACACTTGACTGAATGGAAACCTTCTTCCAGTAAATCTCTACTGTGCTTTTGATGTACTAACGGGATAAGAACACTAACAAGGTTGATGATAGTTACTGTTTACCTTCACTCTTCCTGTTAGTAATCTGCGTGTAAAGAAATTTTAGGCATTTCTAATTTATTGTGCTTCATGACTTCAGCATGTAAAATGTATAAAGCTTGTTGTGTGTTTATATATAAACAACTAACATTTTGCTTGCGGTTTTGTTTATATATACAAGCAGGTAAGGTTTAGTTTGCTATGTGTTTATATATAAGCAACAAATAACCTTTTGTTTGCTGTTTTGTTTATGTATAAACAACGGTTAAGTTTCGGTTTGCTGTATTCGTTTAGACGTAAACAGTTAAGCTTTTGGTTTATTGGTTTCTTAAATTAACAGTACTTAAGTTTTTGTTGTATGTTTGTGCATAAACAGCAGTTTCATTTTAGTTTGTTATTTGAAAAATGTGGACTGTCTACAGTTCCGGTATCGATGATCATTTTGATTTAAATGGATTTTAGTTTTACCTTCTTTGTCCCCTCCAAGTTCCATTTTGTTTGAAGAAACCAGATCTTGTGGCTGACCTGCTGGACTGGAAACCAAGGCTTTCTGAACAAGACCTCTTAGACTTGCTAGTTGCCGCTCCATCATCTCCATCCTTACCCTAAACAATGTTTGTTATATATTTGCTATGTAATATCCAATAAAATTGTGTTTATGCTAAGATATCGAAATATACCTTATAGAAACTATAACACACGACTGTTTCTTCATTAACCTCATATTTGTTACATATAGATTTAATATCAACACGGCACATTAAGTAAATAAAGGTATACATATTTCGTTGAAATATCTGAATATAAGATGAGTTGTTCCGTTAAGTACCTTTTATTTACTCATGAATTGTAATACATTTTTGCCCATTTTACAATTATTCCTATGCAAACAAATATGTAATTATAACTTATAATATATTGTATATGTTATAATTATTCCTATGCAAACAAATATGTAATTATACCTTATAAGTACGTGAAAACTGAGCATGTCTACAGCTTGTCTTTAAATAAAAAAGTACTAATTATAGAATGATTATCGTCTGTTGTAAAGCTTATTGTAATGTTAACTTGTAATTGCGTACATTACTCTGTGTGCATGTGTCTATAAAATTTTGTCATATATTTTTAATTACACTTGCTCAAAATATTAGTTTCCAATAGTGTAGCATAATCATATTTTTTTAAAACTCTTGATTACGATGATGCATGTGAATACAAATAATTTAAATTAGTTAGGGCAGATAGCCCCTGTATCTATTTTTAAAAGCATTAGAACGAATAGAGTCACACGGAATCGCATTGTTATATATACTTATACATAAAACTTTATATATGTGTATATACATATATAGTATTAAGTGGCAGTTGCAGTATACACACACACACACACACATATATATATATATATGCATCTAAAAGTATGTACGGCATACGCCAGTATTTATTAATAAGAGAGATGCGCTTATCCTTGACCTATATTCATATACTCATTTGAACTGACGATATCAATCCTTAGCTGTTACATATTTAGATTTTCCTACCTTCTGTAAGCTAACATGTATATATGTGAAAATCATATTTTCCTAATTTCAATTCCTCAATAGACTTAGAGTGTAGAAAACAAGCTTATATTATTCATATGTACCATGCTGTTCATAATGATTCATTTTTCGTTTCCATAATTTGAATTGAGCTCAATATATTTTGCATTGTAATGAATGGTTTAATGTTCTTACCGTGCTTCCTCATCAATAGCTGGTGTAGTGCTTCCAGACCTAGAGCTATAAGCCTGATCATGTGATCCATATGTCTGATCTCTGTAATATCCTCGACTATCAAACGTTGCAGAACTGTAAGGTGGGAAAGTGCGCTTTACGTCTGGACGTCTCTCTGGGGAGGACAGGTAGCCAGATTCATGGGATCTTCTTTCTGGAGAAGACTGGTAAGATGGGTCGTATCTTCTGTCAGGGGACGCATGATAAAAAGCTTGACCATCTGGAGGGTAGGGCCGCTCTGGGGTGGAACGATAGGATCCATGAGGGTCGTGGTAGCGATCTAAATCACGTTGACACTTACATCACTCCAAGTATGTACATTTCAAATATAATGTTGAATATAATGCAAAATTATAAAGTAAACGACTTATTTCATATATAAATAATGACCAAAGTTGTTTTAGAATCAGTATGTTACATTGTTTTCAAGAAAATATTTCCTGATAAAATCTGAAAACATCTTGAAAATTTTGCAAAAATAATATTTCACTATTGCATATTTAAATATATGACGCATCATAACAAACTATCATTCGCATGTATTTATTTTTTCTTCTACTGCTTATCGTGCTACTTCGGTTTATTTTGATATATTTGAAATAGAATTATTTAATAAGCCAACTTGCATCCTTATTGTGATGCCTAACAATTTTTAGCCTAAAAACGTTACGTATAGCTTGTTTTGAAGTCATGGCTACATTATGCAGTGAAATCGTACATTTTAATATACTTTCACGCTACCCTTTCTTATCGCTAAATGAAAAAGGTAAATGCATAGTTACGCACTTAAACTTTAAGAATCTGAATTAAAGTAAATTTGACACTATTCAACGTATAGCTCAAAATATCTTTACAACACAATATAATGATAGTAACCGGCGTATGTCACTGTTATATCCCTGGATTACTATTTGAAATGTAACTCACCAGGTTTTGGCTGAGCTGATCGAGGAGAAGGTATTGCAGGCAGAGGGCCAGTGGGAGGTGGAGTGGAGTGAACTGCTTTGGTGAGTGGGACTAGAGCCTGCTGAAACGAACGCTGTGGTTTTGGTGGAGGTTGAGCTGAACCTAAACGAACAATCTTGAATAATAACTTGTTTTCTATATAATATGCAGTAAATATATGCGTAGACATAGAGTGGTTGGGACAAAACCTTTTAAACAATAATGAAAAGCATTTCGTTTAAAGTTTTCTTTACATAAAGAAGTATATAAATAAAGAAATGTTAGTAAAACTAATCACTACATTTTCAAACAGTAGTGACACTCTTGTTCTGGATAAAAGAAATAAATGATGCATATTTACATGCTTTATATTAATTCACATGTTAATTCATTTGTTAAGTAATGTCTCATTAAGTTTTTATACAAATAATATGTATAACATCATTAAAATTCTAACACCAGTTGCGTGTAAAATAATGTATTCTTATAGCAGTGAATACTGTTTTAAGAGATTATTAAGATAAATTGTTTTTATCTTTGAAGCAAACTTAATCAACAAAACGATAAATATCCCTTTTAGGTTATGTAAAACTATATTAGTTTAATTATTTAATAAACATTAATGTAGTATAATGTGTAAAGTATTTTTTAAAAGCATCATTACTACCATATACACAGATAAATAAAAGGTCCAATACGCATAATTTATATATACCAGCACTACAACTCAATAGAAAGATCTAAGTATCGACTACGGTCTAAATCTTAATTGTCATTCAATACCAATAACCAATGTTAAACATGATAACATTTGTTGGAGACTATCGCAAGAGAGACGCCACCGAACTGAGATCGATTTTCTTTTCACAGAGATGGCAAATAGCGTATTACTTAATTAACTGCAACCCAACCCAACACCATTAAAATAATGCAAGATCCAATTACTCGTTTTTCTCTGTAACATAAATTAGACAATTATAGTAAAAAGTCGTACAATTAATACGTAAGATTTTTGTCGAGATTTTTTGTTTCTCTTTAGATTTTGAAGCCATAAATTTTCAACTTCAGTGTAAACAAGAAAAACACATTTAAAACAAATTATACTAATTATTCAGAGCATCATATCTTTTGATTTAAATTTGAAATCTCCTTTTGGTGAACAGATCTAGAAGCATAATAGAAAGCAATAAACTGGAAAGGAAGAAGCAAATCTTTAGAAAGATGAAATTGAACTGGATTAGAATTACTTTTTCACTTCGATCTTGACTTCAATGAATCTATAATTTTAACCCTATTCTATAATGTCAAAATAGTTATGAAATACTTAAACAACGTTGACAAAATCTGATAACGTATTGTTTTGGTTAAAGCTAAAAAATTAAATGCTTCTTAACAGAATTCAAGTAACAAATCGTTACTGGGAATTTTAAAAATCTGCCTAATTGGTATTGTATATTTAGCAATCATTCCCAATGATCTGATTATAACGATTGATTTGAAATTGATATATTATTTGGGAACATTTTCAACAGTTTTTAATACTGATTTTAAATTATTTTATGTATTCTACAAATACTTTTCAAACTGAATGTGCAAAATTTTAAGTTTTTTTTTCAAGTTAAAGTTGAAGTTTACATAAATTCTTACAAGAAGTCCAACAACAGCATGTGATTTGAGGACTGTGTTTATATCTGTAATGACATATAATACTGTTAAAATAATACTGATTCGAGAGTACATACATTAGTGATATATTAAAGTGAGAAATGTAAAAAAAATATAACATAGCAGAAAGCCTAACACTGTATGAGGTACAATTTTCTTTATTACCAGTACACTCGTATATAGAAATCACGATTTTTATTTAAAAATCAGAAAAACAAATGTGTGACTGTTGAACATTTACATTTTTCTTATCTTTAAAAGCACTCAACTGGTCTTCAAGGACAATTAACACAAATTCTATTACCTCATGATGTCAAAATTACCACACTTTACAGGCGTTTACGCTGCAATCTTACTGTAAAGATGATCCATTATGTGTGTTATCACCTACCACCTAAAGTTGGCTGAATCAATTACCGTAATTTTTTATATGATAACTGAAAACTTTCCAACAGTGTACATGGACTATAATTTGTTTTAGGACTTTTGCCTGAGAAGAAGGATAAAAAACACCCTTAAATAAAGCACATTTCTACTTGTATATATACTTTTGGCTTTGAATTTAAAGACACGTGTACTTAATCAGTTAAATGGGTCAACTATTATGTTCCACAAATCAGGTTATGCAATTAGCACCTAATGAAGTTATTAGATATTTAATAAGAGGAGAATGAAACAAGGGAAACATTATCTAACATTGTCATATATTTTTGATTCCCTAATGGGTACCCTCAGCTAGTATTCTGAAAGCATCCAGAAAGACTTTTCACAGTCGACTCCGAAACACAAATTACACTACAATGAAACTTTAAACAACTTGTCAAAACTGTAAGACATATATGTTCTTAAAATAATATATGTTTATCATGTAGTCATTATTACCACGAAACTAGCTGAATTATTACTTCTTTTATCACTTGTACCTAATATGGATTTTCCAGGCATTCATTTTGACTGCTTCCTTAACAACATTTATTGTTGTAGTTACGCGTATGTAGAATACCCATAAAATCTTCTTAAGAAAAAACAAGTAACTTGCGAACACGCTTTATTACTGTATAAAATATCATGCTTTGCAAGGCAGGGCGTTCTACATCCTAAGAAAAGTAAGTAGTCTCATTAAATAAGTGATATAAGCTTCTGAACTAAGATCTAGATATTGTAATTCTGTCTGCCTCAGACGTGCCTTGGTAGAGAGTCAGTAAAGAATGATGTGATTAAAAAAATGATTATCATTAAATATCCGACTTTACATACAGCTATCAACTATCCGTAACCAAAGTATACTCTATTCTTTCTTTAAAGTTATTTTCATTTTTTAACAGTATTGGTCAGAATATGTAATATATTAATTTTTAATTATAACATTCGTATTATAGATATTGTTTTACATTGCTACCTTAGTATATATAGATTTAGGACTAACCTAAACTTGCTAAGCTAGCCGAACATCATAAGATGTCATTGGACTTATAGCCAAAAATATCACTAACAGCATGGTATACCCAACTGATAAAGCAATTCGAATAACCTTTTTAAATTATGAACGTAAGAACAGTACGCTTAATTACACACTACCATGTTTAATTTAGAAGGTAGCTTACTTTACTTGGAAATTAATATTAATTTCTGCAGTTTTCTGTTGGACAGATATCGGCTTTGCTTACATCAAGATGATCCGACATTTTACCTAAGGAACTCTGGATCATACAGGATAGAAACATTGGAGGGTCGTAATTGATTACTTATATTGTTTACTGGATGGGGTCTGTTCTGTTAACTTTCATTTGTAAGTACAATATTTGAACGTATTAACTTAAACTTATACATGTGATTCATAATAATTGTGCGAGCCAGATGAACTCAGCCATGGGGCCAGATGCGGCCCGCGTGCCGTCATTTGGGTCGTTGCTGATTTACATGTATTAACGAACGAGAGAGACAAATATCACTCTTGACATCAAGGGATAAAATACTCAAACTAGCAACCAGTAAATTAAAAAGAAATTATATAAAATGAGTAGGTTAAGCCAAAACGATGTGGTATTATAATTATATATATATATATTTAATTGTAGGAACAAAATATAAATAACAGCTAAGTTATACGTTAATTGATTTAAATAAACCAGTTTTAGAAAATGATTACTTTAGTCAAAGTAATGAAATTCACAATTAAGATCAAAATCAACATCATAACTATGTGTTTCCTTTTCATGTTCATGATATAACTTGAAAGATAGAGGACGATTTTATCTCCAATCAACACCTTTTGTTAACTTTCATCTCCACGTTCAACGTACTGGTTGAATCTTATAATAATATTTCTTCAAGTAATCAACCTCGTAGACATGATGATTTTCTTTCAAGAGAGGAGGGACAGACATACTTTGGGAGCAAGAAATACAGTTACTTTAAGGAACTTCCTAATGTGATTTAAACTTTTCTAAATTAAATTCAATAAAAACAGAACAAAACAAATAGTATATTAATATGAACTTATGTAAATTACTCACTATTAAGGAAGAATTATGTATAGTTAGGGCTATTATTTAATTTATCTTGAGGGGGTTAGAAAGGCACAGGGGTCTGGCACCTTTAAAAATCGCTTTTACCCCGCCCCCCTTTCCCAACACAAATCGTAATGAGCTAATTAAAGGGCTTATGTAAAAAACTGTAGTCTAATATGATTTTTATCATGAATATTTGCATTATTAATAAATATATTTAGATTTAACCGCTAAATCAAACCAAATCAGTCTGGAAATATGTTACACTTTGCACACTTTGGGCAACAAACAGAAGACTAGATGAAGTATTAAATAACACATTACCACACTTTGCTTTGTTATTAAGCAGGCTAAGTCACAAATTAAAATTCTACTCACTGTACTCGCATAAAAATATATTAAAGTTTTTATCGGAGGAAAAGCCTTATAACTCCTTTACCCAAATTCACAAATCTATAAAAGTGGTTATGGAGGAACTTATATGTCATATTCAAATACATGTACAAAAGAGCAACTGACTGTGCATTTAATATGCAATTATTCTTTATTTTGTATTTTTAAAGTATTGATATTACTAAATCACGTAAACATCATTAGTAAAGTACTTGTAATTATAAGTAATTTTGAACAAGTTGTATTACTCCGAACCATACAGAAACAGTTTGTTATAATATGTAAACTAAATATCATTTATATAGTAAAATAAAACTGAAATAACAGAATTTCTAGGTATGCAACGTGCTTCAAAATTAGAAATTAATATTCACATCTTCCTAGTCGTGAATAAAAATTACCCAGTTCCAACTGATAATGAATAATATGTCACATATTTATAACTAAATTTTAAACTATTTGGAGAAATTTCGAAAACTCTGATTAAAATAAGATTTTGTTATAATGTAGTTCTAAAATGAACTACCTCACAAAAAGTCTAAAACTTTTAGTAGAAAAATTCAGCGAATCACCAGTTATTTTCTTTCTCAATATAGGAAAACATTCCCATATATGATATCTGTAAGCATGTGAAAGTTATCACATATGATGTATACACATACATATATATGCATATCTAAAAACATCATTTCAACGGCTAAGTAAATATTAACTTCAAAAGGAAATATTACGTTGAAAACAGCAAGACCAAACCTGTGATGAAGGATCCTTTTTGATTATAAAAACAAGCTTTAACAACTACAAATAAACGTTGCATATATTAACAAAATCACCAGAGTACAGGCTATAATGTGTAATATAAAATTTGCTCTGGGTTTTGGAGGTGACTGCGGAATTAGGACCCACACTGCGGTAAGGATACCCCGTCTACAGAATTAACTCCGTTCACTATTCTCACATGTTAAAGAGAAAAGAATAGACATAAAATAAGTAAGTAAATTAAAAACAGGAATAAGTTAGGAGAGCGAGACATGGGTACTAAAGCCCACAACGTCCCACATCTATATCACCCTTCACTGCCTGCAGACAGCTGTGGGAAGGTGAATATCCTCTAAGGAAATGTAAAATGAAAGAAAAAAGAAAATATAATCCTTCAATTACGGGTAAGTAAGGGAACCTTACCTTCTGGAGTTGGCATTACAGTAGTAAAAGCTGAAATTAATAGTAGACAAATTGTACTAGTATGAAATTATTAAATTCCACCCAAGTTATTCGAACTAGAGGTAAGGTTCCGTTACTTACCCCTATTAGTAGGACCTTATTTTCGTTTTTCTTTCATTTTTCATTTCTTTGGAGAGCAGTTACTTTTCCATAACTGCCTGCAGGCAGTGAAGGGTGATATAAATGTGAAACGTTGTGGGCTTGAGCACCCAATCTTGCTCTCCTAACTTATGTTTATTTCTCTTACTTATTTTCTTTTTCTTTCTTCAACATGTGAGACTAGCGAACGGAGGCTAAGGTATTCCCACCGCAATGTGGGTCCTATTTTCGCAGTTACCTCCAAAACTCAGGGCACATCTTATATCACACATTATGGCCTGTGATCTTTTTAACATACGCAGCATTCTTGTTGTAGTTGCCATGGTTTATTTTAATAACAGTGTATGAGTGCTACTGATATATGATTTATATCTAATATAGTAAATCTATCTACCTATATATATATATATATATATATATAATCTACTTATTGATATTGCATTTATGAGTAAAATGGCTCGTTAAAATGTATTCATGTACACTAATTTTCAAGTGTATAACTTAGAATCAGAAAAAATGCAACAACTAAATATAGCTTAATAAAACAGATAGGTAAAACAAACTGGTATCACACAAAATAATATTAACAAAGAAGTTAATAAAACAAAGAGGTGTCAGAAAACAACAACAACTGAATATACTTAATGAAATAAATACATAAAATGAAATAGTGTCAGAAAAAATAATTAATTATGACTTAGTAAAACAGGTACAAAAACGGGTATCAGAAACAAATAACAACAACTAAATATAATTTTATAAAACAAGTACATAAAACATACAGGTATCAAAAAACAACAAAACTGAATACAAATCAATTAAACAAGTTCATTAAACAAACGGGTACCAAAAATAGCAACAACAACAAAATATATATTGATAAAGCCGGTACATAAAACTAACGTGTATCAACAAATGAATATACTTAATAAAATATGTACATATAATATACAGGTCTCAAAAAACAACAACAATTAAATATAATTTAGTAAAACAGGTACATAAAAGAATAATGACCAAATATCGTTAAAAGAAAAGTCAATAAAAACACATATCAGGAAACAGCAATTAAAATTATGTAATAGAACCGTAAAAACTCATAAACAGAACAGCCCTCTACGACCAATCATATCACAAATTCCTACCCCTA